CTCCTCCTCCTCCTCGTCCTCCTCCTCCTCCTCCTCCGCCTCCTCCTCCTCCTCCTCCTCCTCCTCAAGATCGGCCTCGGGGCCGACGCGGGGCTTGCGGCCCCCGTGGGCCGTTCGAGCTCCCCGGCAGGCGCCCCGCCGCCTCGCCCTGCACGCGGCCCCTGGCAGCAGCTCGAGGTGCCGACGGGCGCCAACCGCCGCCGCCCGCCGCGCAGGCCACGGCGGCGCGAGCAGCTGCCCACGTCCGCTCGCTCCGCTCCGCTCCGCTCCTCGCGCGCGGCCCGGCTCGCCTTCTGCGGCCCCGTCAGCCAGCACGGCGGCCTCGGCGGCCCTCGGCGGACCTGGCGATGTGTGGCGGCGCGACTGGCCGCGCACCTGTCCAGCGGCGGCACGCGCCACCTCAAGGCTGCAGTCGTGCAGCGGAGCGCGTCACGCCCTGACGCAGCCGCGGCGCCTCCCGGAGCGGCCCCTGAGATCTGGGCGTTGCAATCTGAAGGCCTTACGGTCGGTGCCGCCGACCCAGAAGGACGACGACGACGCCGCCGCTGCTGCTGACGACGACGACGACGACGACGACGAGGACGAGGACGACGACGACGACGACGACGACGACGACGACGACGACGACGACGACGACGACGACGACGACGACGACGACGACGACGACGAGGACGACGACGACGACGACGACGACGACGACGACGAACGGGACGACGGACGACGAGGACGACGACGACGACGACGACGACGATCGTCGATCGGACGACGGACGACGACGACGACGACGACGAAGACGACGATGACGACGACGACGACGAGCTGAAGACCCTGCCATAGCCTCGGGACATGGACATCCGGGTAGGTGGAGGGAGGACGGAGAGAGGAGGAGGAGAGAGGACGAGGAGGAGGAGGATGCGGTAGGGGAGGAGGAGGAGGAGGAGGAGGAGGAGGTGGAGGAGGATGAGGAGGATGGAGGCGGAGGAGGCGGAGGCGGAGGAGGCGGAGGCTGAGGCGGAGGCGGACGCGGAGGCGGAGGCGGAGGCGGAGGCGAAGGCGGAGGAGGAGGCGGAGGCGGAGGCGGAGGAGGCGGAGGAGGAGGAGGAGGAGGAGGAGGAGGAGGAGGAGGAGGGGGAGGAGGAGCTGAGCCGTCTGTCTTCTCGGGGGCGGGCGTGTGGGAGGCGAGGGAGAGGTCACACCCCAGCGGGCCCCCTCCCTCCCGTGGACCCTCCTGGGACCGCCCATTGGGACCACCCCCCAGGACCCTCCCGGGGCCCTCCCCCTCCCCCCCTGGCAGGGGAGGGACAAAGGAAAGGGTCTCCCCTTTGATGTAATTGCGCCACTGATCTATCCCCCTTGTTTGTTCGATCTCTCTCACTCTAGGCCTCCTAGATGGGGTCCGAGTAGATGTGGTCAGAGGATCGGGCCGCATCGCTGATGCATCGGCGATGCGGCTCGATCTGGAGCTCGATTTGCTTCATGTCGACGTTGCCGATGCATCGCCGACGTCGACGATGCATCGCCGGTGCATCACCGATGCATCACCGATGCATCGCCGATGTCTCGGCGATGCGGCGCGATCCTCCGACCCCATCTACTCCGCCCCATCTAGGAGGTCTCTACTTACGACGACGACGATTCAAAGGAGGCTGGCGTGCTTCAGTTTGGGTTGGACTGGCCTCGCGTCGAAGGGATTCTCACACACGCCGACGGTCGGCGGATTTTTTTTTGCACGCCGGGCAATTTCGCCCGGTTTCTGGCCCCGGGGTCATCGCAGATCGATTCGTCTCGAAACATGCAGCAGGATTGGGAGGTATAGTGATCGGACCAGGAGGTCATGGCAATGCTGCGCTCCCGTCTCTCTGGATGCTCCGCACGGGCTGCAAAAGCGAGGGCGGGCGAAGAGAGCTATGCACATGCACCGATCCTGGCAAGGCCCATCCTGGACCCAGGATCGGTGCATATGCATATGCTGTCCTGGCCACGGCAGGAGGGCGTGTGCACCGATCCTGGGCTCAGGATGGGCCTGGCAAGAATCGGTGTATGTGCACAGTTCTCTTTCCTCCAGACATCATTGTCGTCCCATCTAGGGCTTCGGCCGTGGTTGTTCGCGATGCTGTTTCTTTGCCGCAGCGTTGGATCTCAGTGGCTCGGGGGTCGGGGGCGGGGGCGCGCGGGCGGAGGCGCACGGGGTGTGCTGCTGGACGGGGTCCCGTCGGTCCAGCGCGCGCTGCTCCCGGTCACCAGCGTAGCGGACTGCATGCGAACCCTAGCCCCATACCCCCCACGATGTCTGAGGGGGAGGGTGGGGTTCATTTCGTGCGGGAGCTCCCAAGCGAAGTGAACCCCACCCTCCTCCTCAGAAATATCGTGGGGGGTATGGGGCTAGGGTTCGCATGTGGCCTTTTACAGCGGGCTGGTTTTGGCGCCGCGCGCTGGGAGGGGGTAGGTACACAGGGAGGGACGCGTCGGCCCCCAATCGCCCACTGGTCGCCGCCTAGGGGCCCGAGAGCCCCAAGCCTTCCCGGAGAGGTGCGGTTTCGCCATCGGGGGCCTCTCGCCGATTGCTCGCCGATCTCAGGCCGATTTTGGGCCGATGCATCCTTTTTTTGTGCCAGTCCCCCCCGTGCCGTTGCCCCTCGGTGGGGGGGGCGCAAGAGGGGGCGGCCTTTGAGAAGGCGAGGGAGGGGGGTTTCGTAGCAGCTTCTGGGAAACTTTCCTCAGGAACGCGCTTCCTAGAAGGCCCCTCCCTGCCTTCTGCCTTCTGTTCGGTGTCCCCCCAACATACTTATACTATGTGCTCGTCGCCCCCCCCCAGGGGCGACGCGCGCACCGAGAAATCTTATGGTAGATGCGTCGTGGCGGGCGCTTTCTGGCCACACCGCTCGAGGAGCGATAAACAACCAGATGGGTATACCATATGTTCTGCGCGGAGTGCTCGGCCTCCGTCTGGCCATACCCGGCGCGGACTTGGCCACTCCTGTTGCTTGCGCCCCTAGGCGGCACGCGTGCTCCGGCGCGCCGACCTCGGCGCAGCGGCGTGTGCGCAGGGCCAGACCGCCGCGCGCCGCGCGCCGCCGCAGGCCCGGCGCGGGGCGCTCACGCGGCCGCGCCCGAGCCAGAGGCCCCACGCCGCCTCCGGGCGCCGCGCGCGCCCGGCGGCCGGCGCCTCCTGCCGCGGAGCTCGGGGCGCGGCGCGCGGGGGGCGCCGCTCTCGTCGGCAGGCTGCCCGGGCCCTCCCGTGGCGCGTGCGGCGCAGGCCTGGTCTTGCAGGCCCGGTCGCGGGCTCCATCGGGCCCGTCCGGGCCGTCCGCCCTCCTCTTTCTCGGGGGCGGAAGAGGGGGGGGTGAGGACTAGGGGGGGTGGATATCATGGCGTGGGCCATGAGATTTCCCCAGATTTCGTGGCGCCTCTTCTTGTTTTATTACGTCCCTGGCCCCCCCGCTGGGCCGCGCACATGCCGCCGGTCATGATTTGCACCCCCCCCTCTTGGACACCCCCCTCTTGGCCGCTCCCGACTTTCTCTCGCCCGCTCCGGGGCCCGAGGGGCCCTCGGCCTGTCGTCGCGGAGTCGGGCAGGACGGGCTCCCCTCCGCTTGCTGGCACGGGCCACCCTCGGTGGGCCCCGGCCGCACGTCTGCGGGCTCTTCTCAGTCGGCTGATGTCGGGTGGGAGTTTCTGGAGAGGGGGGGCGTTCGGTAGTACATCATGAGAGCCTTCTATGCCCTCGCAATTCCGTCTTCAAGATTGCAATAGCGTGCGATGGCGCCTGGCAGTCGACCAGAAAGCGCCGATTCAGCGTCGACTGGCGTTTGGTAATCGATGAGTCAGCGCCGAGGCAGCGTCGATTTAGCGTCGATTAGCGTCGACTAATGTCGATTAGCGTCGACGCGCAAGAACCAGCAAGATGGCATGGGAGTTGCAACAGAAGGGGGCGGGGTGGCGAGCGGGAGGGATGCCTCGTGCGAGTTGGGACGGGAGGGAGAGAGGGCAGCAGGGGATGTCACGGTCCCAGGGAATGGACCACACCTCCCCTCGCCTCCTCCCTCATCCCCCCTCTCCCTTTCCCTCCTCTCCCTCCTCTCCCTCTCTCCTTCTTCTGCCACTCCTCCTACCTCACCCCCCCTCCTCCTGCTCTCCCTTCTCTCCCTCTCCCTTCCCTGTCTCAGGGAGGCGAGGGGAGGGGATGGAGGCCATCGCTACGACAGCATCCCTTTCGCCAACGGCATGATCAGTGCTGGAATGAGCTGCCAGCTGATCCACTACAAGTTCGAGGACCTCGTCGACTCTTTCCTTTCCCTCGCCAGTGGTTCGATTTTTTTTGTATCTCGCCAACATGATGATTCAGTTAATGATGATGGTGGTGGTAACGATGATGATGTTCATGGGGATGAGGATGAGGATGCGGCTGATATCAATCTGACGATTGTGTTGGTGATGGTCGTGGTAATGATGCTGGTGATGCTGCTGCTGATGATGATGATGATGATGATGATGCTGTTGAGGATAATTAAGATGCGCATGCGGATGATGATGATGCTGATGATGCTGATTCTGCCTATGCTAACGATGATGGTGCTGAGTTTGATGATGATGATGACGATGATGATGATGCTGATGTTGATGATGATGATGATGATGATGATGATGATGATGATGATGATGGTGATACTGATGCTTACTCGCACTCGAATGATGGTGATTCAGCTTATGCTGATGATGATGGTACTGATTCGAATGATGATGACGATGACGAGGACGACGACGACTACGACGACGACGACGACGACGACGACGACGATGATGATGATGATGATGATGATGATGATGATGATGATGATGAGGATGAGAGGATGAGGATGATGATGATGATACTGATGATGAGCTGCTGCTGCTGCTGCTGATGATGATGATGATGATGATGTTGATGTTGACGCTGTCGAGCACGCGAATGATGACGATTCTGCTGATGCTGATTATGATGGTGCTGATATGGATGGTGATGCTGCTGCTGATGATAATGCTGATGATGACGATGTTGATGTTGTTGATGATGATGCTGATGCTGATGACGGTGGTGGTGATGATGCTGATGATGATGTTGCTGATGGTGATGATGATACTGTTGATTATGACGATGACGATGACGAGTTTGATGATGGTGATGATGATGGTGATGATGAATAACATCATCAGCCTCATCATCAGCATCATCACCACCATCATCAGCATCCTGATCATCACGATCATTACCATCACCACCAGCATTGTCACCATCATCGCCGTGATCATCATCACCATCATCATCATCAGCAACATCATTATCACCATCACCATCACCACCATCACTATCACCATCACCATCACTATCACCATCACCATCATCATCAGCACCACCATCACCATCACCATCACCATCACCATCACCATCACCATCACCATCACCATCACCATCACCATCAGCATCAGCGTGACCATTGTCATCATCATCATCATCATCATCATCAGCATCCTTGTCACTATCACTATCGTTATCGTAATCGGTATTGGTGTCATCATCATTACCGTTATCAGTCACCATATTCTACCATTACTCCTCGTCTGCCTGATCGTCTTCGTCCCACGCTCCGCCTCCCTGTTTTCTCTGCAGGCTTATTCTCTGCCAATACCCCTTCCTCCTCCTTCCACTCGACGAATCCGTCGTGTTTGCAGCCAGGCTGGGCGTGGCGACGATCTGGGCGTGGGTTGATTTTTCTCCAATGGCCTCCCCCTGTCTCCACCTCGTCAGCGCAGTCAGGATCCCGTAGCTCGGACAGCGTGGCCGCGCACGACGGCTGCCGAGGGTGCACCTCCCTCCGCCAGACTGCTGGCGTGCGGTAGGTTCGCGTCGTGCCGACCGGCGGCGACCCCCGCGCGGGCGTTTCGGGTCGAACCCCGCCCGTGGCCCAGAATCGGCCCCTCGTTCAGCGAACTGGTGTTGCTGAAACGCCCGGTCGTTCAGGGTGGTCGTTTTTTCATTTGTTTTTCTGCCGATCGGCGCGGGCCCTCGCACCCTCTCCCCATCTTGGCTGTGTTTGGGCGCCTGTCTCGAGCAGGTGGAGCCTCCCCCGTAATGGACGCACTGCTGCAAACAGTCGCACTAAGCAGAGGTCCGAGCCAGACCCCCCCCCTCCCCCCCCTTTCCTCCCAATGCCGAAACGCCGAATGAAAAAACGCTCTCAAGGTTGATCGATACCCTCGGTGTCAGGAACCAACGCTGGGGTCGACACGACACGAACCTAATGTATCTTCCTCCGCTCGACTGCAGACTTGCGCATGTCCCTGCCCTGGCGGAGGGGCAGCCGAAGTCGAAGGAGAAAACAACAGCAGAACCATCCATTTTCGCAGCTCCGCGAGGATTTCTTGGATCTGCGCTGGGTCCCCATTGCGGCTCCTTCAGAGCTGTCCTTGGCGCGCTCCGCGTGCCAGGGGCAGCTCTGGAGGAGCCGCCCCTGGCACAGATCCGAAAGGTCCGCGCGGATCCAAGAAGTCCGCGCGGAGCTCCGAAAGTCTGCGTTTACGCCCCTGTGCTCCTCTGCGACGGCTCGCGTCACAGGGCGGGGGCGGGGGACACCGCAGGGCGCCCCCCCCCGCTCGTGCCGTGTCCTGGGATCTCCTGCTGCGGGCCGACGGGGGCTTGGGGCAGCCGGCCCGGCGGAGGGCGTGCCGCAGGTGGAGAGGCGTGAAGAGACAGCACCCCGACGCACGGCCGGCGTCTGCTGCACAGTGCTGAGCGTCCACCGTGCTGGCCTTCCCTGCCCGATGCATTCACCAGGTGAGTGTACTATAGAGGGCCTCGCTTCTGTGGGGTGCCTAGTCAGAGGGTGGTACTTCTGCCCTGCCCAGCTGCCCGCGGCGAGTCCAGCTCAGAACTCTGGATGGCGCCGAGGAGGCGACTGCGATTATCTTAGAACGCAGTCGAGTGGCAATTGTGAATTTTGGCTTCCTCGGACCGTATTTTGGTTCCTCTTGTCGCCCTGTTGTGCCCTCTTGGAGGCATCTTGAGCCACCTTGAGGCCATCTTGGGCCGCCTTGGGGACATTTTGCGCCGTCTTGTAATTATCCTGGGCCATCGTGGCGGCTTGGTTGCCTGCCTGGGCTGTCTTGGCAACTCAGGAGCGCAGACCAATTGTTTTTCACTGGGGATTGTGGCCTCGGGAGCACGGATTTATTTTTTGGAAAGGAATCGTGGCCTCTGGAGGGGGGGGGGCGATACACGCAACAGTCTGTGGACGCGAGGAAGGCGATGCAAGCCTTGGCAACGCTCGGACGTGTGCTTTTTTTCCTTCGGCGAGGACCATCGTTGAGCATCCTTGATCGTTTGGCGAAACAAACCACGCACGAAACCGAACAAAAAACAGGGAATGGACGTCCGAGCGATGGCCAGACGCAGCCCTTCGAAGATTACCGAAGCCCTGCCGGGCAGCGCTCGGCACTCTGCCGCGCCTCGAGGTGCCATGAGGGCATGGTGGCACCGTGGCGGATCCCGGGCCCTCGGCCCCGACGAGGCTTGTGCATCCCTCTCCCTTCTCGGGGGCGGCAAAGAGGGGGGTGATGACTAGGGGTGTGTGGATATCATGGCGGGGGCCATGATTTTTCCCCAGATTTCATGGCGCCTCTTCTTATTTCATTACGTCCCTGGCCCCCCCGCTGGGCCGCGCACATGCCGCCGGTCATGATTTGCAGCCCCCCCTCTTGGACACCCCCCTCTTGGCCGCTCCCGACCCTCGCTCCCTGCGGTACGTTCGCGTCGCGTCGTCCAGCGGCGACCCCGCCGCCAGCCTTCCACGTGGAACGCCGCCGGCGACCCAGACTCGGCTGATGTTGAAGGATCCGACGGTTCGGAAGCGGACGATCGTCCAAGGTTGAACGGACTCCACGGTGTCAGGAAGCAGCGCCGGGATAGCATTCAGCCACGCGCAGAGGGGGGCGGGGGGAGGGGGGAAGGCTTCTTAGAAGCACCGCTGCTTCATGGAAGGCGCGGGCCTTCTTAATAGATGCAAGGCCAGCGCCCTCTAATAAGCAGTCTCCTGCTAAGAAGCCTTCACCCCTCCCGCTACCCCCTTCTGCGCGCTGCCAACATTTAGCGAAGCAGAATAAGCTGCGTGAACATACGCTTTCGACAGTCTGGGCGGATTTCTTGGATCTGCGCTGGGTCCCCCTGGCGGCGCCTGCGGCGCCGCCCTCCGCGCGCCAGTGAGGGGGGTCCGGCCAGGACCAAGAAATCTGCGCCGACTGTCGAAAGGGTATGTTTATGCCGCTTGTTCTGCCCTTTAAATCCCGCCTACCACAGGCAATCATTCCACTCCGCTCACCGTGCTTGCACGGGACAGCTGTTTCAGAGTTCGAGGCTCCAAGAGATTCTCTAGTCGTTGCGGTGGTGGTGGTGGTGATGTTGATGATGAGCATGATGGTGATGATGGGCATGAGGATGACGACGATGAGATGATGATGCCGATGATGATGATGCTGATGATGATGATGATGCTGATGATGATGCTGATGATGATGATGCTGATGCTGATGCTGATGCTGATGATGATGATGCTGATGATGCTGATGAGACTGCTGATGATGATAATCATGATGATGCTGCTGATGATGGTGGTGCTGATGATGATAATGAAGATGATGAAGATGATGATGCTGATGATGATGATGATGATGATGCTGATGATGATGATGATGATGATGACAGGATGACTATGATGAGGCTGATGGTGATTATGATGCGGATGATGTTGGTCGTGATGATGATGATGATGATGATGATGATGATGATGATGATGATGATGATGATGATGATGATGATGATGATGAGGCACTAGTCCTCCGCCCGCCGCCCCCGCCCCCAGACCGCGACCCCTTGAGCTCGATTCAATCTTCTCGCTGCCCCTTCCGTCTCCCAGACTGCGAACCTCCTCTGCTGTCTACTGCTCTCGTAAGGGGCGGGGGAGGAGGGGGAGGATGAGGAGATCTGGGGATCCTCCTGCTGCGTCCTGGTTTCCACCGCCGCCTCATATTCCTCCCTCCTGCTGCTGTCCCTCCTTACCCTACCTCTTTTGGACCTGTGAAGCCATTCGGGCGTTGGGGGAGTGGAGTTGACGCGACATGCTTCCCGAGGAGCACGACAAGTTCTTCAGCGTGTGTAAGAATTTTGACTTCCTCATCGTGCGCTGCAACCCGGGCCAGATCAAGGCCGCTGGCGCTGCATAGTAATTCTGGACGCTTCGCACAATCCCACCAGCCCATCCAGGAATGATGCCCAGACGGGTTGCCTTGATCAGGGATTTGGAGGAGCATGCAGTGGAATAAGGGCCGGGGAAGCCGCCGTACCCCAAGAGGGGAGGGTGGAGGAGGAATCGGAGGAGGAGCAGGAGGAGGGGGAGAGGGAGGGGGAGGCGGAGGGGGGGGGAGGGAGGAGGAGGCACGGCGGATGATGAAAAGGAAGAGAAGGATGATGAGGAGGAGGATTAGGAGGAGGAGGAGGAGGAGGAGGAGGAGGAGGAGGAGGAGGAGGAGGAGGATCAGGATGACCAGTGTAAACCTAAGACGCGTCGGCGATAGTGCAGTAAACCCTTCCTCCAAGTTGCCCCTTTCCACAGGGCCCTACAATAATATATTTACATTGCCGGAAATGCTCTGTTGGAAAACAAATGTTTGAGAATCTTCAATCGTGCCGCATCACCAGTCCTGGGACGTCAGCGTCGCGAGTCAACGAGACTGTTGCGTCCTGCCATTCCTAAGCCGTGCCAGAACACCAGTCCTGGGACTTCGACACCGCGAATCAGCATGACTGGTGCGTTCTGACAATCCGGAGTCTGGCCAGAAAGCCATTCCTGGGACTTCGACCATGCGATTCCTTGAAACCGCTACGAACTTTCAAAACGAATGAGCTCGGCGCTGAGGCCAGAGCCAAACCTTGATAAATAATCACCCTTCGTCTCTCAAGACGAATGTGCGTGGCGCTGAGTCGAGAGCCGCATTTTGAAAACGATACGATCTCCATCCGAGAAGCTGCTGCAAACTCTTAAGACGAAGGTAAGGAGGTGAGGCACACATAAGTCTGCCAGTTGTGGTTGCAGGAGAAAACGAGGAGGGGAGACTCACGAGCAGTCAGGGCTTCTACCGTTGAAAACTGGCAGACACGTTCACCAAACACGTGGGCAGCGAAATGCTCTGGAGGCGCATGCGTGACACCGGTCCGCTCGCGCTTGAAGGCAGACGTCGGCTAGCCCCAGCCACCGAGTGCAGAGTGTCCGTAGCCTCTTGAGATCAGGGGGTTTCAGGAGGGAAAGAGACACACAGACACAAGGAGTCGTCGTTCCTCAAGAGAGTGTGGGAAAATATGGGAAGCGGGGGGGAAGACAGAGCCCCAGAACATATGGAAGCGTATGCGGAATCCTATTATCTGTGTCTATTTATTTGTGTGTCCCAGGGCCTCTTCAAAACTCCTGCTCGCGCCCGACGGCCGACCTGCTCCCAAGCGTTTGACGTTCCTGGTTGGCGCGGCTGCCGTTGCCACAGTCGTCCTCGATTGGGAGAGCAAGTTGCCGCGAATCAGGGCTGGACCTAAACGCTGTTTTGCTGGATTTCGGCTGTGTTTTGTTTTTCGTTTTGGGAGGGAGGTACAGGAAAACAGGTCGAGCAAAACGAAAAACAAAACGAAAACAAAACGAACAACAAAGCTTAGGTCCAGCCCTGCCGCGGATCATCTCCTGGAACGGCCGGCCAAGCACGAGTTGATCACGCATTGCGTGGGCCAGGTGTTCGACGCGACCGAGGGTTGCACTCGCCGCTGCGTCGAGCAGGCCGAGACGAACCGCGGCGTGCGCTGTGCTGAGCTGCAGCGGATGGTGGTGGATCGCGATGCAGCGTTACAGGAGGCGCTTCGTGCCCATATCCGAGTCACCACGGGCAACGAGGAGATCAGCGATTTTGAAAACGAGCTCGACCAGTCCAAGGAAACGGGCCATCTGCTAAGACAACGACGAGGACGCACGGGCTGTGAACATCGCAAGATCGCAGAAAACATGGCCAGGTCGCGGAGTTAGCCAACAACGCTTCGAGGATCGTCCAACGGTTGCCCGAGTCGACCTAGATTCAAGTCAGCCGACGGTACATCTCACATGGAAGAGAGACCCGACATAGTGTACTCGGTTAACCATTGCGTCTCCCGCGGCAAGTCCAGCATCGCAGAGGTTGCCGGTCATGTGCGGTTTTTGTCACCATCCGACAACCAAACGTTTGGGTCACCGCTCCCGAGCCCATCACCGACCGAGGTTACCGAGGAGGACAAATCGGTCAAGAGGCGCAGCCACCCCAGGTCCAAGATGAGTGACCATTACCCCGTGGCGACGGCAAGAGCCCCAGCGGGAGCTCTGAACCGTTGTCCGAGGCAACCGGAGGTGCGTCGAGCAGAGGGGGAGTGTCAGCGAGCGGACTTAATTTGCCTCAAGGGGAGCCCTCGCCAGTGTTAACGGAGGAAGCCAAGGAGGCGGGCGAGTCGCCGGCTGACCCGCGCCAGCGTCCGATTCCAGCCGACGAGCCCACGGAGGCCCTTGCGTCTGCTGGGGGTGCTGCTGCGGCGATGCCTCCATTTCAAGTTGGCAACCCGTTACTCGCGAGGGTGCTTGTTATAAACGAGCACCTCGTTCGTAGCAAAGTCCCCGCCATCTTGAGGTCTCAGAAAATGCCATTCCATCACCTGTTTCGGGCAGCGTCGGGTTGACGGAGACACGTACGACCCCCAATTTCACGGCCAGTCCGTATCCGTTCGCCCAGACGACTCGCAATTTCTGGTGCAGTTACAGTGGCAGTTGGATCGGCGAGCCAGCTCCCGGGTAACTCGCAGACGTCCATGGAAACGAGGTTACACAGGACGGCTTCGAATGTTCCCAGACGGGCTTGGTGCCGTTATTCGGGGGCATGTGCTGGCAGTTACCCATGGCGCCGTTGAGGGGCCCGCTTGTGTGGCAGACCGAGCTCTGGGCACGGGGCCGAGTAGCATGAGTTCTGGGTCCAAACCATACCAGCACTCCAATTCAAATATCCCCGTGTTTACCAGGCACCCAGGACGCTCGCTGAGTTGCGCCCGAAATTCACCGCCCGGTCGCGTCCAGGGTTCCCGAGTCATGTGCCAGAGTCACAGATCTACATCCAGGACGCGTGATGGCCGGGAACCCGTTCATCATGGGTGTTAAAGTACTGTGCGATAAGGCGTGGAGTAACCGTGGGGAGACCGCCAAGGGGGCCATGGCCGCTGGGTTTGTCGCCCAAGAGTTGGCCGAGTACTTCCTCGAGATTGCCGATGGGTTAGAGGTGCTCCACCGACAGTGCGATGCCATCGAGCAGTGGAGCCGGGACGCGCTCCAGGCAGACCTGGGGCCACCCGAGATCGCCTGGGATTTGGCGATCTTGAAGGCTTCGATGTCCACCAACCTTCGTTCCGTCAACGCGCATGCTGGCTCGCTGCCGTGAACTGCTCCCTAGATGCCGTTCGAGCCGGCGCGAAGAATCCTTTCTGTGGCAGGTGATGTTACTAGGTTCCTATTTTGACATGTGGGTGAAGTGCAGCCGCTGGTGGGTGAATTCTAACAGCGGTTACGAGCTCTGCCGCATGAGGCACGGCAGCCCCCACTTTCTGCGTTACCTCCTGCGCGCGCCTGACCGCATCTTCTGGGAGGCTGCTGGTTTCCATGGCACGGCTGCCGACAAGACCGCCAAGTTCAAGGGTCATGTTGACGTCGATGTTGTTGCGGATGGCGCACCGACATCAAGCAGTTTCAGAATGCCTGGTCGGGCACGGACTACTGTGACCCGGGCGATGCCGCCAACAGGTTACCAACTTATCACGGTGGTGACGCAAGGAGGGCCCGTGGCCGGGCGCGTTCGCCCGTTGCACCTTGGCGTCGTTAAGGCGCCAGCTGGCAAGTCTACATACTCACCTTCATCTACCAGAAGATGCAACCGAACATGATGCTACGATGGGCCAGTTTTGACTACTATGATTATTTGAACCTGCTAAATGACTTTCCACGCGCTTCGAATTAACTTATGCTCTTCCTTTTCGCTGAACTTGGCAGTTCGGCTCTTGCGACCTTTGCCCATCCAGGTGGCGTTGATGTTCCATGTGCTCAGGCCACCTCTTTTGTTACAGCATCTTCCCCGCCACTGATGCGGCCTGTGCAGGCCGATTGTGTGTGTGTGTGCGTGTGTGTGTGCGTGAATGTATGTGTGTGTGTGTGTGTTAATTATAGCGCGGGTGGCTGGGTCAGGGGAGTGGTAGTACTACTGTCACCGAGCGTGCGTCGCGATCGACGCCGTTCGGCTCCAGCGACTGATCGTTGCCGTTCGTGTCGAACGTATCGGTCTGCAGGCGAGGAGCGAGGAGCGAGGGCAGAGGAGAAGGAGGAAGAGGCTCTGCCCTCTCGCCCCCGCCGCCCCAGAGGAGGAGGAGGAGCAGGAGGAGGAGGAGGAGGAGGTGGAGGAGGTGGAGGAGGTCCGTAGCCATTTTGGCTCAAGTCCGGAGCTGTTTTGGCTCAGGACCTGACCTTACTGGCAAGGGGGAGTTGCGGCCCCCACAGTGCCCCTCGTTTGCCAGGTCAGACGAGGATTCTGGCGTTCTGTGAGCTCCTGTTGGAGCATTCTCTTTCGATTTCTCTCCCTGATGGTGCCAGGCCCTTTCCCTCATGCGCCCTGGGTCAAGGAGGGCGACGAGGGCTGGTCTCTTGCTAAAGGTCGCCGTGGCAAGGCTCAAGCCTCGAACTTTGCATGCCCGTCCTGTGGTTGTAAGAAGAGCAGCGCCAATGCCACGCATTGCAAGCACTGTGCGCACCCTCTTCCTCGGCTGCTTCCTGGTGCTGGGCTTCCTGCTGGTGGACGCTGGGCTGCCTCTGGCCCCCCTGGTTACTGGATTGAGTACGGCGTCAGTGGCAAGGGGGCGTCCTACCAGTACGGCGGGGGCAAAGCTGGTGGTCGAGGGCCTTGTGGCAAAGGCAAGGGCAAAGGCTACTACGGCGGGGACAAGACGATGTGGGACGTGCTGGCTCGTCAAGGAGATTCGCGTGCTGGAGGTCCCGCGGGCGGCCCCCCCCCTCTTCCCGTGGGACCAGTGCCTGACATCTCAGCGTCTGAGGCTAAGGCCTTGGGCGAGTCGCTTCAGAAAGCGGGAGATGTTGCGACGGCCGCCAAGTACC